ATATATATATATATATATATATATATATATATATATATATATATATACATAAAACTAAATCTATTCTTATATAAATCAATCATACAATTATATTACATGAGTCTTCCACGTGTACCGCTCGCGTGCTTCCCTCTAATTAGAGTTAATTAAAGTTCTATTATTTATCCAGTGTCGTCTTTCATGTTAATGCTATTTCAATTTTTCATCTTAAATATGTTTAATGTTTTAAAATTATATACAATATTTTATTTTATTGTAAGAAAATATGGAAATAACAAGATGATCTGAATATTATCTCAGATTATACGCAGTGATATCTGGATTATAATCAGTGTAATCTTGGATTATAATCAGTATAATCTTGGATTATACTCCGTATAATCTTGAATTATAATCATGGATTATAATTTTGAATTACAATCTTGGATTATAATGTTGAATTATAATTTTTGGTTATAATCTTGGGTTATAATCTTGAATTACAATCTTGGATTATACTCCTTATAATCTTAGGTTATAATCTTGAATTATAACCTTGGAGTATAATCTTAGATTACAATCTTGGATTCTACTCCTTATAATCTTAGATTATAATCTTTGGTTATAATCTTGAATTATAACCTTGGAGTATAATCTTAGATTACAATCTTGGATTCTACTCCTTATAATCTTAGATTATAATCTTTGGTTATAATCTTGAATTATAACCTTGGAGTATAATCTTAGATTACAATCTTGGATTCTACTCCTTATAATCTTAGATTATAATCTTTGGTTATAATCTTGAATTATAACCTTGGAGTATAATCTTAGATTACAATCTTGGATTCTACTCCTTATAATCTTAGATTATAATCTTTGGTTATAATCTTGAATTATAACCTTGGAGTATAATCTTAGATTACAATCTTGGATTCTACTCCTTATAATCTTAGATTATAATCTTTGGTTATAATCTTGAATTATAACCTTGGAGTATAATCTTAGATTACAATCTTGGATTCTACTCCTTATAATCTTAGATTATAATCTTTGGTTATAATCTTGAATTATAACCTTGGAGTATAATCTTAGATTACAATCTTGGATTCTACTCCTTATAATCTTAGATTATAATCTTTGGTTATAATCTTGAATTATAACCTTGGAGTATAATCTTAGATTACAATCTTGGATTATAATCTTGGATTAATATTCCGAATTAATCTTGGATAATATCCAGTATCATCTTATTTTTTCCGTAAAAAAATAATAATTAGATATTAATTAATAAATAAATAAATAAATAAATAATGAAGTATGTAAAGCTTTTACTTCTTTACAAGATGTAATTCTATTGCTCTTGTGTATTAGTGATTAATTATTAATCATTACATATTTAATTAATAAATACGTCATATATTCTTGTGAAAATAATATATATATATATATATGATATTTTAACATGTTTCTGTGCATTTATAAAATTAAAATAAAAATGTTCCGAATCATGTAATTTAATTATTATTATTATCATTATAGCAATAATTCACATCGTTATTATTTAAAAAAAAAGAAAAACTGTCAATTCTACAATAAATAACGATATAACTTATTTTTATGATTATTTATTTAATTATAAATTTTATTGACAACAATCCTTAATTATTAACAATAAATTTTTAGGTGTGCAAAATTTAAAGTAATAAATATAGTTTTTAAAAAATAAATTTTGATTTATATCATAAAAAATTATTTAAAATTTGCACACCTTTATAAAATAATAATTTATTTTATCGAATTAAATTTGATTAATAAAAATAATACTTAACAATAAAATATAGACTAGATATTTTAGTTAAAAACAAAGAATAAAAATTTTCATTATTCAACAAAATAAACAACTATTATCATATACTTTTTTTTTGTTCATATATGCTAGACTTTCTGTCCTTGAAATTGATAATAATCACTGTGATATTGTCCAAAGAACCTCTGAAACAGAATAACAAAAATTATTATTATTTATTAAAGAAATAAATAAAATTTTGCTTTATTAAATAATAAATTTTTTTAAACTGCGCTGTAATTTTTTAAATATTGACATTTTTAAAGATATAAGCTCATTTTGATGTTACACTTATCAAGAGCTTTCATTTGAGTACCCACATGCATTTTCATATATAAATATATATAATATATATATATAAATATATAAAATATATGAAAAATTGATGTTGGTACTCAAATGAAAGGTCTCAATGAGTGTAACATCAGGATGAGCTTGTATCTTAAAAAATGTCAATAGTTTACAAGATACAAGGTCATTTTATCTCATTACTATCCTGGAGTCAAAATTTTTCTTAATTTTTTAATAATATAGACAAATATTTTTAATACCTGTAATAACTTTGGAGCGTAATACTCTTAGCCCCATAAAAAGGTTCGTCAAGTCGCTGTTTAATAAAAGCGACAGCTTCCTCATTACTAAAAGTGTCCCAGAGCCCATCTGAAGCCAGTATCAAGAACATAGGATCGTGGTCATCTAGATCGAAGGTCAGAATATCCGGATCGGCTATGACATACTTCTTGTCCTTCAGCGGGTAATCCCCAAGGGCCCTGGAGGTAGCCAAGATCCCCGCGACCCTCCAGACACCGTTGAAGGTCACGAGTCCTCCAGCTTTATTAATCCTCTGCCTCTCACGCTGTTGCTGGGGCTTGTGGTCGAATGACAGAGGAATCGCATTGCCTTTGCTGTCACACATGACCCCTCTCGAGTCCCCGACATTAGCGACGATCAGTTTATTGTCATCCAGGACGACGATAAGCGCTGTTGACCCAGCGACATCTAGCCTCTTTTTTGCGGCGTCTATCAGCAAGTGATCAGCAGCCAGAACCTCGTCTGTTAGCAATTTCTGGTAGTTTATTTTCTTTTTACAATCACTGCTACTAGCATTACTATTATTATTACTGCTATTGTTATAATTGGTGTCTAATTCGAGGTAGCTGGTGATCTCAACAGGTTGGAGTTTCTTTGCACTCCTTAACCCGGGCTTAACTTCGCGGGTTATTGCACGCGGTAAGCTCTCCAACTTGCCCAGCAGCTCCGGGTCTGTTATTGTCTTGTTCTCCATGCAATCGTCTGTGTGAGAAGCGCTGACTGTTTTTTTAAAGGACTTTCTTCGCATGCTCCACTGATCTTCTTTTTTCTCTCCTGATTTGTCTTCATTTTCTTGCGGTTCATCGATTTTTACTACTGGGACTGTTATTTTCCCGGAGATTATGTTCTTTAACTCTATTACTTTGTTATTTATGTTTGGAATTAATTTGTCGCGCGCATAGTCCGCTGCGAACTGTTAATAAATTTATTTTTTATCAAGAAATAACTAAATTTTAGTTTATTTAATAATGACTTTTGCGAAATTGAACTGTACTTTCTTAAATATTGACAGTTTTAAAGATATAAGCTCATCTTGATGTTATACTCATCAAGAGCTTTCATTTGAGTACCCACATGCATTTTTTATATATTTTTCATATATACATATATATAATAAATATCAATGTATATAAAATATATGAAAAAAAATTGATGTGGGTACTCAAATGAAAGGTCTTAATGAGTGTAACATCAAAATGAGCTTATTATATCTTTAAAAATGTCAATATTTCACAAGTTACAAGGTCATTTCTTAATTATTGATATTTTTTTAAATATAAGCTCATCTTGATGTTACACTCGTCAAAAGCTATCATTTGAGTACCGACTTGCATTTTTGATATATTTTATATATTTATGAATATATAATATATATAAATATATAAAAAATTAATGTGGCTACTCAAATTAAAGCTCTTGATGAATATAACATCAAGATGAGCTTATATCTTTAAAAATGTCAATAGTTCACAAGATTCTAGATCATTTCTTAATTATCTATCTATGAAGCATTTTATAATGCAGCCTAAATCATCATAATAAATTGACTATTCAGAAAAATTAGCAATTTTGCCTTTTTTTTTTTTTTTTTTTTAAATTAATTTAGCTGATTTTTTAAAAAAATAAATTAAAGCCAAAAAATTGACATTTAAAAATTCAAAAAAATTGAAAATACAATTTTTTTTTATAATAATACTCATAATTTTTAGTTAATTTTGAAAATAAATAAATATTCTTCTAAATTTACAAATATGAAAATAATTATGTTTACTTACCTCACCGCCATGCCCATCAAAAACAGCAAAAACTGACACTCCAGTCCTGTTAATATCACTATTAACTATAAACCGGTCCTCCATATGATCTCTGTGACCTTGAACTGCGTAAACTGCGACATTGTTCTGCTCGAGTTCCCAGCTGATTTTATCACCAGCATTGGCATGATTCACCAGATACTGAAGCTTGGATACCTTTAAAAAAAAATAATAATCACCATAATTTCCAATTTAATTATCAATTAATAAATAATCACTTTGAAAATTACCATAAATAAATTTAAATAATTGTAAAAAATAAATAAATGACAAAAGAAACCTTAGAATTATTTTTGTAGACGGTATAATGAAACTTGTTAATTAAACTCCGACTCCAAGTATCAACCGCTTGAAGGTAATAAATAATAATGAATATAATTGCGCCACACAAGACAATTTCGGGTCTGAGAGCATAATAACGCATCAGTTTCCAAAAATAAACCAACGGTGCATTAATCCCAGCAGGTAATAGCCCTCCAACAGCAATTTTTGACATCAGCTTCATGTGGGATAAATATGTCTAATAAAAAAAAAAAAACAATTATTAAATAAAACATTAATTAAATTCATTTAAAAATAAATAAACACCTGGTAAATTATTTTGTCTTCTAATTCATCATCCATTTTTTTTAAAACACTTATTAAACTAATTAATCAATTATTTTTTTGTATAAAAATAAATTGTAACTTTACTTTTTAATTTATTTTTAATTTTCACTCCAATTTTTACACATTTTTATGTATTTATGTGTCAGTACGTGGAAAATGAGACAGCATAACAGCTCGACGCGAGTTATCGATACAAAATGACGTCGATTATTTTAAATTTCGAGTTTCGGCGCCTCTAGCGGCGGAAAATAAAAACACAAATTAAAAAATGTTCCGTTAAAAAATATGGTGGGTGTTTATTGTGTTTTTTTTTGTGAAATTATGTGCGTGTATTTTAATTAAATATTATTATTATTATTATTATTATTATTATTATGAAACCCGCTCAATTGACGACCGTGCCATCTACAGGCAATAACCATGAGATTATAGAATGTACACTATTTTTAATGAGAATTCCCAAGACACTGAACAGCTGGTTTATTCGAAGAAAGTAGAGCTCAAACAATGTTTAGTCTGTTGTGTATTTAGACTGGTTAATAAAGAAAATTAATTAAAAAAATATTTTTCAAACATACACATGGAAGATTGTATGATAATTTGTTCTATAAAATTTGTTGTATTCATAAAATAGTTGTACATTTTTAACTTAAAATTTGAACTTTTCCCGTGCAATATTAAAAATTCATAAATTCATAAATTAATGAATTTTTTCAGGCAAAGCTATCATTTGGTTATTTGGTTCCCCCCTATTGTGTTTTATGTATGTAAATGTATATATTTTTTAGCGATAATTATTTATGATTTAAACAATTAAGAGAGAAAGGAAATTTTTGTGACAAGCATATTATTTTTTTTTAAAGAATATTTATGGTTTAGTTTGGTATCATTATAAAGGTCTTGATAAGAATGAATGACTTTTGGTGTTTAATAGTTTTCTAATTTGATAAATTTGGTCGGTCACATTTTTCCATTGAATTATTTGTAATTAATCTGGTGATAGCACTGTTATAATTAATAATTTATTTATAAAGTACCCAATTTTATGTCCAGTGTGATTTCAAATATAAAAAAAATTATTCAGCCAAAGTTTTTTATTCATAATAATTCATATATTTCGGTGGTCGCATATTAACTGCAGTAATTTATTAATACGTGTTATTATATTCTTTATTAAGAATATTTACTACTATTACCATTATATAAAACATCATATAAATAAGAAATCCAAATAAATTGGAAAAAAAATTTACAGCGTCAAAATACCGTTCTGCTTACGGTAAATACACACTCGATTTTTTGTAGGTTGTATCAATTTTTTTTCGGTTTCTTACAATAATTTTATTTTTTCTTAACAATAATAGTTTAATTTTTTCTCTACTATTTCTATAAGGCGTGTAGAACTAGAATTACAGTATTAACCCGGAAAAAATGTTTGAATTCGCGCTTCGCGACAAGTAGTGTTACCTGCTGGACGCAATCCAAAGCATCACATAGTTAGCTCGTGGTTCACCCTTAGATATCTAGTCTGCGGCGCAAACTATCCCCTTGAAGCTACAGTTTATGTAGAAATAATTCCAGTGCACCCTGGAGGCCATAGATGCAAGCTGTGAAATATCTCTTTTTAACTGTAGTTTCCCATCTATAGAAGGATAACCATGCATTCTCGAATTATTTAGTCTGTGGCATGTCACTTTCTCCATAAGAAAAAAGTCAGAATCTAAAAATCTGGGTCGCTATAGTTTGTGCTAGTGAATTTAATTAATTTTAAATAGAATTCATTATTTTTAATAAGCATTATTAATTAATATTGATAATATAACACATAAGGTATTATTATAGAGTATTATTGAAGGAAAAAAAGGTCTGTAGAATTAATTTAAATTCGCAACCTCAAAAAACCGTTCTGCTTACAGTAAACACAGTCGGTAGTCTGGCGCTCCGTTTACAACGGGATTTTTGAACGGACCTTGGCGCCAGATTCTACCGAAATTTTAAATTTCAAGTTTCAGCGCCTCTAGCGGCGAAAAATAAAAACACAAATTAAAAAATGTTCCGTTAAAAAACATGGTGGGTGTTTATTGTGTTTTTTTTTTTGTGAAATTATGTGCGTATATTTTAATTAAGTATTATATTATTATTATTATTATTATATTGTAATAATATAATAATATATTTTAATTAAATATTTTAAGTTAGCCGGCGAAAAACTTTTTAATTTATGACAAAAGTGACATCAGAAAATTTTTAGAATTTTTTTTATTGAAAAAATTCTTTTTTTTAATTTTATTTGAGATAAATTCGAAAAACTGTAATTGCAATTAAAAAAAAATTATTTTAGTTCTAATAATAAGTTAAGTAAAATAAAAAAAATAAAAAATGTCAATTAACTTAATTTTTTTTTATTGAAAAAATGACGAAAAAAAATTTTTTCATAAAAATTTTAAGTGCAATTTTTAAAAAATATTTTTTTGTTGTAATTTAATTATTAAAAAAAAAATTATAAATTTTTGAGTGTCAGCTAACTTAATTTTCATCTGAAGTTTTGAAAGATAATAAAAAATTTTTAAAAATTTTACAATAATTAAATTATTATATTAAAAAATTAATTGAAGGTTTCACGAGTGAAAATTATTAAAAGTTACAAGTGAAAGTTTTTAAAAGCAGTGTTTTATTGTAATTTATATGTTAAAAAAATTGACAATGGTTTAGTGTTTTTTAAATTTCGGGTTTCAGCGCCTCTAGTGGCAGAAGATGCAAACATAAATTGAAAAATATCCTGTTAAAATCTAGGTGAGTGTTTAATTAATATTTTTGAGCTTGAAGAGTTCAAAAACGTAATTAGTATAACATTGAAGTTAGCAGACATCTAAAAATTTTTTATTTCCTTTTTTAATTAAATTACAACTAAAAAGATATTTTTAAGAAATTGCACTTATAGTTTTTCAAGTTTTTAACAAGTGATATTTTTTTTTTTAATTTTTTAATTGAAATTTTTTGGATAAAAATATTTCTAAAAATTTTGAAATGTCAGCTAACTTCATTTTCATTAATTAGTGCAATTTTGTGCGCTCAAATATGGAATTTGCGGGAAATTGCAGGTTTTTAGGGTCAACCATTTTCCTAATTTCATACTTTTTATTCTATTAAATTTTACAATTTTATTTAACAATTAAATTTTCCAGTAAATTTAATACTAAAAAAGACCATTCGGCAGTCGAAATGGAAGTAGATTTCATCATAAATAGAAAAAAATAATGGATTTCTAGTAAACCGGCGATTAAAACCTTATTTCACCCTAACTTGTTATTTGTTTACATACTGCTGGTGTACAGTAAAGAAAAAAAAAACAAAAAAAACGAGTGCAATAGCAAATTTCATAATTGGCATAGCGGAATAGGACATAATTTTGGGACTACAAATATGATATGCTACTCAAATTGAAGCTTATTTAAAGAGCTTTCAGATGCAATTTACAGAAATTCGATAAATTATCCTATTTAAAAGTTATTGAAGGACGAAAATGGAGAAATGTTAATTTTTACACGGGAAGAAAATTGAAGGAGTTATTACTATTTTACTATTGTAATTTTTACTAAATAAAATAGTAACGGTGGACTATACTTCTCATTTAGTAATTTTTACGATCTACTATTGTAAATTTTATCCAACAAATAAGACTAGCAAGAGTTTTAAAAAGTCGAATACTATAGAGCAAATTATACAATATGTGTTTGTGAATTTTACAATTCAACTATTGTAAAAATTCACAGTTGGTTTTTTTAAAAGAAATATTAGGGAGGGAGAGAGATAGAAGGTTGCACGAATTGGTACCTGTACAGTAATCGAAAACAGAAACAAATCTTTTCGTGCTATCTGGGAATCGAACCCAGAACTCTGTGTTGGTAGCCAGAGACTCTCCCTTTAGGCTATCCGCGGTAAACTAAGACCCATGTCCTTTAACATTTATATAAACTCAGAGACTAGCGCTGTGCACGGCCATCACTCACACTAATTGAGAGACATTCCAATTCAACTATTGTAAAATTTGCTATAGTTCTATTGGAAAGATACAGAGGCAGCACTGGAAATTTTCATCTCTTACTTTTTACAATAGTAATATCGTATTTTTTCATTAATAAATAGTATTTTTTCTTCTAAAATATTTGATAATTAATAGTAATAAAGGTATATAGTCCAGCTTTATAATAGTTGTATCGTAAATTTTCCCAGAAATTTTTTCCCGTGTATGATTTTGAAAATTTTGAAATCATGGCATTTCTAAATTACTTGACCGATTAAGCTCATCTTCGAACTTGACCTCGGTATCTATCTGTGGAATAAGTATGTTGAGTTTGATAAAGATCCATTGCAAATTGGCGACGCTATCGTGGTGACAAGCGGCGTTATATCGTATATATATATATATATATATACGATATAACGCCGCTTGTCACCACGATAGCGTCGCCAATTTGCAATGGATCTTTATCAAACTCAACATACTTATTCCACAGATAGATACCGAGGTCAAGTTCGAAGATGAGCTTAATCGGTCAAGTAATTTAGAAATGCCATGACATCAAAATTTTCAAAATCATGAAAAATCATAAAAATTTCCATTTCTTCATTTTCGTACTTAAATAACTTTTGAATGGGATAATTTATCGAATTTATGTAAATTGCATCTGAAAGCTCTTTAAATAAGCTTCAATTTGAGTACCATATCATATGTGTAGTCCAAAAATTATGTCCTATTCTGCTATGCCAATTATGAAATTTGCTATTGAAGTCGTTTTTTTTTGTTTTTTTCTTTACTGTACACCAGCAGTAAGGAAACAAGTAACGAGTTAAAGTGAAATAAGGTTTTAGTCGCCGGTTTACTCGAAATCCATGATTTTTCCTATTTATGATGAAATCTACTTCCATTTCGACTGCCGAATGGGCTTTTTTATTTTAAAAATGTCAAATGTTGAAATAATTTCAGAATTTTATACGCTCAGTTACTATATGTTAGCCAGCCGTGATTAATATCTATTGCAAATCCCAAAGTATAGAGAAATATGATATATAAAATACACAAGAATAAATATATATATAAACTTTTGAACCATATGTATTTTCTGACTCAGCTCGTCGAGTTATGTCGGAATATAGCAAAATTTTTCAAAAGTTTTGTCATGAGGACCATTGCAATAGTTAGATTTCTATGAAATCTACTAAAAATCTACCGACGTTGTTATGAGAACATGTACGTCTGAAATAAGTAAAAAATTTAAATATTAGTTTATAAAATAAATTATCTAATTATAATAAAGTAATACCTCTGCATCAACTTCGTAATAGCATTTTGAGTAGTCATATGCCAGCCGACAAGGTTCAGTAGCTGTCACTGAGTAATAGAAAAAAAAATATAATAAATGTAAAAGATAATACTATTTAATTATAAAACTAAAGATTGTTTACTTTTTCCTAAGCAAGTTTCAAAAGCTGTCATCATTCTTTCCACATTTGCTGGTTCTCCAACTGTTGAAAGTTGATTTAGAACAGTAACTAAATCAATTTTATCATTTGCATCCATCTGAAAAAAATAAAACCATAATTAATGTCAAAAAATAGCATTTAATATATAACGCGGGATGTTAGCAAGATTGCGTTCAAAGTTCTCAACCGATTTTGATGCAATTTTGTGGGCTTATATTCTATAGATCAATACCAAGATTTATTTTGAAGACGAACAAAATCGGCCGGTTAGTTTACGAGTTGTGAACGTTTGAAAATTTTTTTTATTTTTCAAAAATTTTTAAAATAAAGTCAGCTGACATTTCAAAATTTTTAGAAATTTTTTATTGAAAAAATTTCAATTAAACAATTAAAAAAAAAAATTTCACACGTAAAAAACTTGAAAAACTATAAGTGCATTTTTTTAGAAATATTTTTTTAGTTGTAATTTAATTAATATTATTATTCCTCGACTTTTGACACTTTTTTCAGTTTATTTCGTAGTTAGGAACATTAAAAAAGAATAAATTAATTTTTAACTTTTTTCGGTGAAATAATATTATAAAAAATACTTACAATTTTACTCATTTTAGTCTGGCATAAAAGATAACACATCAATTTTTCATCTTCTGGGAATTCTCCTCTTCTATGAGCTGCTACTAAATCTATAAGTTATATTAAGTAATATATATTCAATAAAAAATAAAAAATTTGATAAATATATAATATAAAAATAAAAACCATCATCCATTCCTACTTTCGAAGCACAACTTTTACTCCATGGTTTAGCTACTGATTTCATTTGACTAAGTGTCATTTTCTAAATCATTTAAATTGATATTAAATTTTTTGCATACAATCAGTTATTATTTTAGATATAGAATATATGCTACTTACAGCTTCTACATTTGATAATTCAGAAAATAGAAAAGCTAACGCAAGCACACAAAAATATACTTTACTCATTTTTCTTACAAAAAAAAGTAAATAAATTTTCAACTTTTTTCGGATTGATCGATAAAAGAATATCAAAGAATTGACTGTACGGATGGATTGTAGCGCTATTTATTCATCCGTAAATTAATGCGTTGCTTTGCTACGTAAGATTAATTCTACGTTATTAAAAATAATCAATGTCCCAATAAATTAATTCTTTCTTCCGTCTTTGGAATAAATCTATAATTTTTTTACATAACATATATGAATTTTACAAATATCAAAATGGTATTGTAAATTTTAAACTGCTTATTCATTATAGTTTACAATATCATGACAAGTCTAATAATCATTCACTTATCAATTAAAGACTGCTGAAACAATAATTAATAAATTTAACATAAATTAATTAATTTTTTAATTTCCTTTTTAATTTTATTAAATTAGCAAATTTTTTTTGAAAAATTATTTTTTATGTCATTTATTATTTTTTATCTCATGATTTATTTATTAAAAAAAAATTATTATAAATCATTAATAATTAAATTATAAAAAAAATATTTTTTAAAAATTACACAATTTTTTGCAAATTAAATTTTTTATTTCTTGTAATAATTAAAAAAAAAAAAAATTCTAAAAATTTTTAGATAGCTAATTAATTAATTAATTATTAACATAAAATTTTAATTTCTAATAATTGAAAAGAAACAAAACAAAAAATATAACTATAATTTTTATTATTACATTTGATCATTGGATTATTTAAAACAATTATTCGATTAAATGTAAAAAAATACAACGCGCTCATAATTATCCATTCGCTCATTACTTAAAAACTTTGAAGAAAATTATAATAAATAATACAGTAATAAAATAATTAGGCTTTTGATACAAATAAAAATAAATAAAAGTAATCCTTAGGTTACAGCAATTTATATTCGAGTAGGTAATAAAAAGTTATTTAAAATAAAAAATCGTAAAATAAATATACATTTTGATACTAAGGAACGTATAAAATAAAAAAGAGAATACAGCGCATACAAACACACAAAGATGACTAGTAAAATTGAATTATTAGTACCAATAATTCCATCAACAGTCAGGCAACCTGTACCGCAGCATTCCATTCATTCAAAAATACAATAATGTTTAATTGTTATTGTTACGCTTAAAAAATAGATCTTACTCAAACTATATACAAATAAAATATTAATAGAAATAATTTCAATACATATTTAATAAGTAATAATTTTATTTATAATCAATGGCGACGTCGCCTGATATTATTCGTCCCAGGCGTGCTAATTTCCCATACCGGTCGGCATTTTGTAGATTTCCTCCAGTGTTGCAACTGAATTCCCAGTCGTTGGCATTCACGTACGTACGCTATAAATGATTGACAGTAGCAATTGTCCGTTGGACATTCACACATGTCTTGCAGGCATGATTTGTAGTACATTGTTGGGTTTACTTTTTTATGGCATGCCTCGAATATTGGCGATCTCAGTCGACTGCATAATCTGATGATAATACAAAAATATTTAGATATAAATCTAGGGGTTTTTTTTTTCATGCTTCTAATTTTTGAGTTATATAGCTGGATAATAATCGATTATTAAGAGAATAATTTTTTGGCCAGTCTATAATTAAGAAATGACCTTGTATTTTGTGAACTATTGATATATTTTTTAAGATATAAGCTCATCCTGATGTTACACTCATCGAGACCTTTCATTTGAGTACCCACATCAATTTTTTATATATTTTATATAT